TCAACTTCCCAACAACGCCGACGGCCGTGAAGCCACCGCGTGTCGGTCCGAAGACCTCACTAAATCATTCAATCGGTAGTAGCGACGGGCGGTGTGTACAAAGGGCAGGGACGTAATCAACGCGAGCTTATGACTCGCGCTTACTAGGAATTCCTCGTTTATGGGGGATAATTGCAAACCCCAATCCCCAGCACGAAGGAGATTCAACGGGTTGCCCGGGCCTCTAGGCCAGGGAGAACATGCTGATTCCTTCAGTGTAGCGCGCGTGCGGCCCAGGACATCTAAGGGCATCACAGACCTGTTATTGCTCAATCTCGTGCGGCTCGAAGCCGCCGGTCCCTCTAAGAAGAATTTTAATACGTCGCCAGTGAGTTGCGCGACCGAAGCCACGCACACATAAATGACGACGCCTATTTAGCAGGCTAGAGTCTCGTTCGTTACCGGAATTAACCAGACAAATCGCTCCACCAACTAAGAACGGCCATGCACCACCACCCACCGAATCAAGAAAGAGCTGTTAATCTGTCAATCCTTCCGGTGTCCGGGCCTGGTGAGATTTCCCGTGTTGAGTCAAATTAAGCCGCAGGCTCCACTCCTGGTGGTGCCCTTCCGTCAATTCCTTTAAGTTTCAGCTTTGCAACCATACTCCCCCCGGAGTCCAAAATCTTTGGTTTCCCGGAAGCTGCCCGCCGAGCCATCGTAGTAACGTCGGCGGATCGCTAGATGACATATTTACGGTTAGAACTAGGGCGGTATCTAATCGCCTTCGAACCTCTAACTTTCGTTCTTGATTGATGAAAACACCTTTGGCAAATGCTTTCGCTGATGTTCGTCTTGCGACGATCCAAGAATTTCACCTCTAACGTCGCAATACGAATGCCCCCAGTTATCCCTATTAATCATTACCTCGGAGTTCTGAAAACCAACAAAATAGAACCGAGATCATATTCTATTATTCCATGCACGAAATATTCAAGCAGCATTTTGAGCCCGCTTTGAGCACTCTAATTTGTTCAAAGTAAAATTGTCGGCCCATCTCGACACTCACCGAAGAGCACCGCGATAGGATTTTGATATTGAACCGCCGTTTTACCGACGGCTCACCGACGATATGCTCCGCAGACGTGTCAGTATCACCGCGGATGCGGTGCACCAACAGCGCGGCGCACAAATGCAACTACGAGCTTTTTAACCGCAACAATTTTAGTATACGCTATTGGAGCTGGAGTTACCGCGGCTGCTGGCACCAGACTTGCCCTCCAATTGTTCCTCGTTAAAATATTTAAAGTGTACTCATTCCGATTACGAGGCCTCGTAAGAGTCCCGTATCGTTATTTTTCGTCACTACCTCCCCGTGCCGGGAGTGGGTAATTTGCGCGCCTGCTGCCTTCCTTGGATGTGGTAGCCGTTTCTCAGGCTCCCTCTCCGGAATCGAACCCTGATTCCCCGTTACCCGTGACAACCATGGTAGTCGCAGAAACTACCATCGAAAGTTGATAAGGCAGACATTTGAAAGATGCGTCGCCGGTGCTGGACCATGCGATCGGCAAAAGTTATCCAGATTCATCAAAATTAACGACTTCGGACGCGAGGCCCTCCGTCGATTGGTTTTGATCTAATAAAAGCACTCATCCCATCACTGGTCAGAGTTCTGATTGCATGTATTAGCTCTAGAATTACCACAGTTATCCAAGTAACCGAGGTAAGATCTAAGGAACCAAAACTGATATATTGAGCCATTCGCGGTATCGCCTTAATACGGCTTGCACTGAGACATGCATGGCTTAATCTTTGAGACAAGCATATAACTACTGGCAGGATCAACCAGGGAGCTGACAGAGAGAACTTGAGTCTCGTTGTCACTATACACTCCGAGACCACACGTGCAACGCGACGCGCAAGCGTTTTAACGCTAAAACGCACCGGTGCCGTATGATAGAATATATGAATTCTTATTCAGTCTGGTCACGGGCGAGATCGGGTATCTCACGTCACTCGCACGTATTAACCCAGACCTACTGCGGACGACGTTCAAGTGCGCCCAATTCATAGAACGTTCAACAACGAGACAACTGTGTGAATACTTCACTATGTTAATAATCATTTAACACATTTTCGTGAATAACACAAACGACATATATCGCCCGGTGTTAGAGAGATCATATCCATTTTTTAAAATAAAATACCGTCCCGCGAATACGATTATAAAAAAAACGCACCACGGCGACGAGCATAATTTAACGGACGTTAACGATGGACGCGAAGTCAACTCGCTCACCGAACGTGTACCGCGTTAATTAAACGAACGCTCAAAAACGTCTTACCGCTTCAATAAACGGAGACGTCGTTCGACACAGTTCAACAACGACGATCTAATAATATATAATATATAAATATATAATATAATATAAATATTATATTTTATATATTTAAATAAATATATCACAATCACACAACACCACAAACATCTAATCTAACAAAACACATGAGACTTGAAATTTGTCGTATTGTGAGATTCGACTAGCACCGCTCGTGCTTCGTCTATACATATGTACGACTGCAGATATGCGTCTCCGGCGGTTCGTGTATTGAACGAATAGTTCGCTAAGACACGGAAAGTGTTCGCGTATACGCATAACATTATGACGAGCCGTCATTATAGGGTTACTTTAAAACTTACCTGTCTCACGACGGATTATCATGATCATCACCCACACCAGGACCACCACCATCATCACGATCACCACCACCACCATTACCACCACCGCCATCGTAATCATCATGATCGTCGTTGTCGTCGTCACCATCATCATCGTCAGCATCATCATCAGCATCATCATCATCAGCATCATCATCATCAGCATCATCAACAGCAGCAGCAGCAGCAGCAGCAGCAGCAGCAGCATCGTCGTCGTCGTCACGTCGTCACGTCGTCATCATCGTCATAATCGTCATCATCATCATCATCATCATCATCATCATCATCATCATCACATCAGATAGATCACCGTCCTGAGCTGTGCCACCTGCACATCGATCGACTGCTTACTTACTTACCACACACATCTCATCATGTCAGTTTATCACGAATAAATTCTTTAGATGCGCGTTCGCGTATAGTAATTTTTTTTCACAATGCATCTTCAAAGTCACTGAGCGTGTTCGCGTATAAACATAACATAATAAATATAATTGTATTTATTGTATCCTCTCACCTATTACCAGTGATGAACATAGTCATGTATCCATCAAACAAGGAATGATGTAACAAATAACGCGAAGTGTTCGCGTATCGACATAACATTTTTATAAGGAAGGAACCTTTTAAAGTAAACTCTTCTAATGATGTGTGGTACCATATTCCTTGTAGCTGTTTTTATATATTACTTATTCTTGGTGAACATCTGATATTGTATACATACACTTTAATAGTTTACATTTCCATTATATCCGTGCAACAATATGTAAATTTAATGACCGTTTAAAATTTAAAATATAATTTTATTATTACGAGTATTTTATTTTATAATCATATGTCAATTTGACAATTTATCAATTTATCAAATAGATGATAGATTTTCTTTTTTATAATAATATTATGTATACTTTATATAGAACCTGCGTGAAGCGAAAAATAAAAACATAAATACATCATATAATAACTACATTGTAAATTTTTCTTTTTTACGTAGGTACACTATACATACTAAACATAATATATTATATCCATACAGAAAATCGATCACGGCGGCCGTAGGATCTATGGATCGAGATATATAAGAATTATCAGGAAAGAAGAAAAAGGTAAATAATTATAAGTGTTAGTATTAATGTACAAAATAACATATTATTAATTCAACAATACACATTAAATAAATATACACACTAGAATTATTCCACTGATTATTTCGCGTTTATGCACACCTAGTACTAATCTATATTATAATATTTTTTACGTCATTACACAATCAAATCGCGTTTATCGTTCATATCGTTCTTCTCATACATACATACATTTAGTATAAATATTAATTACCTATAGTATTGAGTACACATCACATTTTACTATTATCTATCGCCACCGATGAAACATAACACACCGTCAACCAAACAATGATACAAACACGTTACAAGGATCTCTCATCATATCGGTAACTTTATTTATTTATAATATGTCGAATGTATTTATAAAAATATATCGTATACTAAATATATAGGCCGTTGCCTTGTTCTATGACATACTGTACCAGTCAATCACAAGAATGTTGATTTAACAAATAAAGTTTGTATGTGCAAATTAAAGATAAATATAACTTTTTATATGATAAACGACGTGGTTGCTGTTGCACATAGATATAATGTAGATTTTTTTCAATTACGAATCAAAATTCATATGAGTTCAGAGTCACATTAAGAGTAAGTTACATTAACTAAATACTCACAGTAAATTGTGTATATTAGATATACATATCTACTCGGTAACAAATCACATTAACGTTACATGTAAAACTGTTGTTGATCTGTTATATGATATATATTCGACGATCATGGGTTATTTTATAGGCAAAGTCAATGAGAGTGTTATGAGTGTTATGTAGTGAAATATTCGTTATTAAGATACGAAACGTGTTCGCGTATAGAAAATTTTATAATTCTTTAAAAGTCAATGTAAGTGTTCGCGTATTGAATGATTGGAAATTTTCTTACACACACTAATCATCAACACTCACAACTCACCACTTCGCACTCGTGCGAATGTTAAAGATAATGAAAGTTTTCGCGTATAGACATAACGTATAATAAAATTGTCTCATTTCAATCGTCTTACTCCGCCGTATGATCGTCCAAAAGACCCAAACCAATGTGTTCAATCAATCAATCAATTAATTAATTGATCAAATCGAAAGAAAGAAAGAAACACAGTCTTTTACAAACGTCCGTACGGGGACACGACGTATATTGTGCGCATTGTACACGCATGGCACAATAATAATATATTAAAAGAATCGTCCTCGGACGAATCACCTGGCGTAGGGCTGAGTCTCAACAGATCGCAGCACGACGCTGCTCTACCGAGCACAACACCCCGCCAGGAACGTAAGTCGTCTACAGACTATTCCGAGCTCCGACATCGAACTGAGGTTAATTCGGACCCTCGGCGCCATGGTGAACGCGTTAAAAACGATAACACCGATCGCCGAGATCCAAATGGGCTTCGACGTCGCACCGCACGAGTGCAGAGCGACTAGTAAAGTCACATTGTTTAGAGCCTCCCGACTCTCGGAGCTCCACAGTGAGCATATCCTTGCCGGATTCGGCTAGGCTGGCTTCGGCCTTAGAGGCGTTCAGGCATAATCCCGCGGATGGTAGCTTCGCACCACCGGCCGCTCGGCCGAGTGCATGAACCAAATGTCCGAAACTGCGGTTCCTCTCGTACTGAGCAGTATTACTATCGCAACGACGAGCCATCAGTAGGGTAAAACTA